ATGCGTCAGCTTGAGCTATTGTGGCAGTTTTGGAGCAGTTAGCCCCGTCGAAATAAGATCTAGGGCACAGCTGCAGTCGCATGTAAAGGTCAGCCCCTGTTCGAGAAAGTTGTAAGTCTTCTTTTGAAAGATGACGTAAAATAAGTTATGGCCGCTCGACAACGGCCAAACGAAGGCTACAAGTCTAGCTAATCCAGGGATACCGATAGGGATGGTGACAGGTAAAATCTGTGGTTGGCACGTTTGAAGACGGTTGCCACTTCGTTTAAAGATTCTGATTTCAGATTTTAATAAGCTTTAACAGCTCATCAGTCTGGTGGCTTTGGTTTTGGCAGAACATGCATATTTTTAACCGTTCAATAGTTAAAAAATAGCGATGTGTCTAAGAACACAGATGGACTATATTAAATTCCAATCGAGCCAGCTTATTTGCAACTGCCCTTGCAGGTGGAAGGTATGTTGCGAACTGTTAAGTACCCTAGCCATATCGTACTGCTGATAGTGAACGAATCAGGGTATTGAGGATGCCTCGTTTAATTCTGTGCAAAGCCAGTAGATGTTTCCGGATAGGGTTTCTTGACATTCTGGCTTATGATGTTTCAGACTCAACCCCTGTTAAAGCAGGGCATCAACAGGCTGTTTACTTTGTTTTAGGCGCTAGGGGCAACACTTAGACATTAAGTAAACGGATTTCGTCACTTCAGCAGCGCAGTTGAAGGGAGTAAAGGAGCTGCCTTAATTACTGTCGAAACCTACACTCACCGATTTTGACCTCCCTCTCTGTGATCGAATGACAGTGGAACAGAACGCTTCCCATAGCAATTCTTGCACAAGGCGATCATCGGCTAGCACTGAGTTGTTTTTAAGTTGACGAAAATTTGAATTCATACACACTGTCTGACTAGGACTTCAACGAATGGGCATCATTGGTAAGGATGATTCACCCTTCCCAAGACGGTCGCACTGGTCTATAGTGATTATAAATTTCGGCAATAACGGCGGCGGCACAACTTCTCTCTTCAATCGTGCTACTGAAGTGACAAAATTTTGCCCTCACATTCAGTGATTCCACAGATTTAGCCGTGTGTGTGCTATTGAATGCCTGACATTACCATATCCCTGCAGTTCTTTTTATACCTCACCAGAAATATACCTGATCGTTCTTATTTAAATTATCCTAAATTATATTCTCTATTTTACAAGTACTTTGGCGTGTAAGAGACAGATGATTGATTTAACAGAATGTTTCGTTTTAGTGTGTTATAGGTAGAACATGATTTTCGTATGATTTTTTAAATTTGTTTGTGGTTCATGCTGACTAAACTTTTTTGAAGCATTAAAAGAAATCCAGAATTCGCTGCTCGTTATATGGTGCGCATCGCTGTTGGCGAAGAAGAGAGCGCCAGTTGTGGAGAGTCGAAAAGTTACTCGGTGATAGACGTATCTGCGGCGAATGTTGCGTAAGTGATTCGCAGGTGATTTGCAGTAAATTTCTAATGTGGCTTTAAATCTCCAGCCGCCGGAAAACGCCTTTCACGAAACAGAAGTGTCGCGTGTTCCTGCGTGGTCACTGCGAAATCGTGAGCGGAATTTGGTCGGTAAAGGTGCGTTGGAAATTTAGCAATAATATGGAGTACTGTATGGTAACCCCGTTTTTAAAGAAAAGTTCACTGGACGAGTACAGCATCTACGACCTAAACTGGAGAAACATTCATGCTGGCCCCCTACCGCGATTCGTGCTCTCCTATAATGTGAAGGAAGAGTCGCCATCTGACTCAGGATCCAGCTCAGGTAGCGGTGATGATGAGGCGCTGCCTTCCCGGAAGAAGTTATGCGGCGACAAGCAGCGACAGAGCATCAACATATTGCTTGAGGAAGCCCGCAAGTATGATATCGACGTCGACGACCGCCTTCTCGAGAAGTTGTACAGCAGCAACTCGGCCAGCGACGACGACGACTTGTGCAACATCAAAGAGCAGATCAAAAAAGCAAAAGACGAGGTAACAAAACGACTTAAACGTCTTCCGTATCTACTTTACTTGTCTTATCCATCTTAAGAGTTTCAGGTTTGTCTTCCTTGCTTTCAGCTTTAGGTTCACCTCTGTTCATCATATATGATTTCTGTCTGTTCGTGAATCCTCAAGTCACTCCCAGTGACCAATATTTACGTGAATAAACAGCTTCAGCACGTGTTTGCATATGAGCATAACATCTGCCCTACCCAAATTTCAAGAGTTGTAAATTTCTCCCTGGTGACCGTCACTCGTCACTGTTTCCAGTTTTCTTTCGCTAATGGTTTTGCAGGAACAACCAGTTTTATGTCTAAATTTGATGATTCTGCAAAACATAAATTGTTAACAAAAACCCATTGCAATTCTGTTACTGCTCTGAATCTGGACGGTGCTCTCCAGCTTGTTTAATTTTTTTTTGCTTTCTGAAAAACTTCATTTGATTTTGCTGTTCAGGTTCTCTCGTGACTAACCAATACATGTATTTTACTGTCCGGGGTATACTATACAGCGGTATTGAAGTATAGTGCAAAGTAGTCCATATGATATCTTTGTGTATTGTATCGACATAGGATAGCTTGTTTCTGCTCTGTATATTCGTCAAAAGGCGCGTCACTCCTTAAATCTTGTATTTCACGATGAATTACGCTTCATTTTGCTCTTAATAAATCCAAAAAATGCCCAAAATGCCTTTTTTTAA